GATGCCTCCGGTACCATAAGCACCCGCAAGAAGCGACTGTGTACCGTAGAGAGAACCTCCTGGTCTTAGACCAAGACCTACGCCAAGACCTAATAAACCCGCGTTCGCGGTGAGTACGTTTGTGGCAGCTACCGTCTGACCTGCTAACAACGGTTGTCTCAATATGGGGGCACCTAACAGCGTAGCCTGCAAAATAAACGCATAATCTTAACTTAACGAATCGTATAATCGGTATAATATAGGGCAGTGTAGGGAGTATACTGAATTTAACGTAAGTAGGCAAGGGTTCAGGTTAAAGGAAAAAGAGAGATTGCACGGAACGAACCTGTGGACGAACGGCTATAGCGGGCGCGGCTGCAGTAATAACCGATGTTGGTCGTGTCAGCAAGGGAGATGAGACAACAGGCCGCGCGGCTGGGGCTGCAGCGACCGCTGTCTTGACCGTGATGCTAGGATCTTTCTGAACAACAGCGTTGAAACCGTTGACAGGATCGGCAGCATACGAGACCACTCGACGCGAACCATCTGGCTCTATTAAGCTATAACTACCTTGAACCACATCGCCATTACGAGTTTCCTCTTGCGCTTTGTTGTCACCTTTTATAAATTTTATTAATTTAATTTATTATTTAATTTATTATCAATTTATTCACGAGATACTAGCGTATCCCTATACCTTGATTTTCTCATTTATGTCTACAATGATATAGTATCGCGATCTCTTTTACAAAATCTCTTATTCTCTATTGAGCTAATTTAATTCACGAACGAAGAAGAAAGTCAAATTTTCAAGATTATTGTATCCTATTTCCTTTTCGTTGTTTATCTTTTTCGATATTTTATATACTTGACATGGTATCTAACGGCTGACTTCGAATCAGCTTTCACGATAAGGCAAATAAATACCCGTAAGACCATCGGCTACGCTGTAACTGAAGCTATATTGCGGATTTGGATCAAAATTTTCGGTTCTGACGACAGCAGCCGCAGCTTGTGGAAGTGCTGCTGCCACTGTGGCCCCAGTGGGAGCAATTATTCCTGCGCTCGGCCCGATTATTCCCGCATGGACGACAGTTAGGACCGTAGCCAAATATCCAATGATCTGTATATGAAAAACAAATTGATCAAACAATGTTCTTGCATGTATATACAAATCTGTATGAGGTCTAAGATCTTTTTCACCAGAGGCGATTCGTGTATCGCGATACCGATGTAACATTTTTCATTATGAAAGCGTTCACGCGATGGTTCTATAACGAACAATAATATATAGTCTTTGTTTGTCGTAAACGCGCGCACATCTCCAAGAGATAAACTGAAATCTGAATGAGAAACAAGACTAAAATGCCAACTTTTTATCTACATATATCGCAGTGTACATGTTAGATTGATTTAAAAAGAAACAAAAAAACGATTACCTTACAATCCATGATGATGAAAAAGTCAACGACGTTCTGAGACCTCTGTAATAACTGGATACCGTAGCTTTTCGCTAGCGAGGATTTTATACTCTTTGCCATCGGTAGACCCCGCCCTCAACTTTTCTTCGCAGGCACTTTACCCCACTGCGTCGAACTTACTCTTCAGTGAATGTAATAGATCAAGTTGTCTTTGTCATAGCTGAGAGTAAAGTTGCTGTTTCCTATGAACTTTTCAATCTAATTAAACGTCTAATTAAACGTTTACGATCAACTCGTTCACTCTGTCTGTTTCAATTTATTTTTCTATATTAAAACATGTTCTACAAAATGCTTCTACGCTCGCAAGGAAGCACGATTGAATCACTTATGCGACATTTTATTTAAAATTAATTTTTATTTCGATATGTGTAGAAACAAGTGCTTACATAGTGCAAGTATGGCTATTGAAAGCCTGAAAGTTTTCTCGAACCATTGTTATGCATTAACCGTAATTGTTATTACGTATGTATATATTGTGCAGTCTATCTTATGTTAAAAGAGTAAATTTCGCAAATATCCATGGATCAGTTGTACGTGGATCTTATCTTATGATCTTATGACGTAACGAATTTGATAAAAATAGGAATTATCATATTCGATATCGTTATTCGTTTCTTCCTATTTAAAAAAATCAATTTTTGTACCTATAATATGTATCTATACCTACGTCAACGGCGTGTAGATGGTAACTTATGATGTAATTTGAATTTGATCAAAAAATTACGATATTTGATATTAATCGAGCCGTTGAGCATCGATTAGAAGACTCGGTGAGAATTATAGTTTCTAATAAAATATCAGATTATATTATCCTAATTATGGTAAGATGACTGGATAACTAGATTACCGAAGAAGAAATACAATACATTCGGCATACTTTGTAAGCACAAGATCACACTGGTTAGTTGATACTAATGTGAGCTAATAATTGATATCGTTGCGACATTGAGCTACGAAATCTTGGAGTCGTGGTAAGCGGTGATCGCAGAAGAGATGGATCGCGTAGACAGTATACTGCTCACGCGTTTCGTTCATATGGGTCACGTAACTCTAGGAGTGCTTCAAGGAGCTGTGTGACATCGAGCTCTCAATTTGCGTAACTGTATAGCATCTATCTCGATCTAATCTGCTACGTATATATTTATTCATCTATAATATGTATAAGTACGATATACAAGTACGACCAATAATAGTTCGATACACGTTGCATAGGTCTGTGCGCGCACGCGCGCGCGCGCACACACACAACACACACACACACACACACACACACACACACACACACTTAGTCGTGTGTTATACGTGCATTTGAACGAGTGCAAATAACGCCACCGACGAGATATAGATCCTCGTTTGTGGTAACGCGTTCCTTCGGTTACCAACAGAGTGGTTCAAGAGCGATAAACTGTTTTTTGGTCAATCAGAAGTAGGGATTTTCTCTGGTAGATGTGGGTATAGAAGAGCATCAGCTACTTCGTTTTACTTACATTCAGCCACATTCTGAGGACCCTCTGATTCTCTTACTATGTTCATATCACATGCGACATCATCGATTCGATGGCTTCGAACAATGGTTTGAATTAAAACTAAAGTCTCGCACGAAATTACAAATAAAGTATAGAGCAAGCTATTCTATAAAATTTGTGTATACTTGTTGAAAATACTTCGGAAGGCAAAATACTTCGGAAAATACTTCGTTATACACTATCAAAAAAAAGAAAAAGCCAATCCACAATTTCAGAAATCATAATGATGAACCCTACGGTTTAATAACGTTTAATCGTAACGGTTTCATGAGTTTTCCAATTATATAAAAGTATATTGTTTGCTACACAATTTATAATTGGATCACATGCAATTAGTAATTGTGTCTACAACGAATACTAATGTTTGTGCAGGTTTCATCATTTGCGTCTTCTGGCACATGAAAATATACCCGAATCACCTGCTATGCATTCTTCTTTCGCAAAATGTTCTTACGAATCTTTGATCGTTATGCGGAGAGCAGGCAAACGGCAAAAGGGAGCTTTAGAAAAAACATCAACGCGGTAAACTAAAGACCGATATTAAAATATAGATTAGGGAAAGGAATGAAAAAGAAAGAAAGAGAAGAAAATGGGATATTATGTAAAACATGAGACGTTGTACGTTATACATTGCTTTATATGCTTGAATTATAATTTCATTTAATAACAATTATTGCCTCGTAATTATAATTTATTAGTGTACTGCTATCGAAGAAAGGGACGGCAGAGAGAAAGGACAACGATTTCGATCGTTTGTTAGAAAATGTTCGATTCGCCTTAGAGTACAGGAAAACCTACGATATCGTCCGCGGCGGTAAAATGACTAACAACATGAGAATCGGTTGAATCATTCGTGAGAATTTCAATTGCCATAAGTCGGTAAATGCAGCAACAGTAAGAATGTTGGTCACCCAGGGTGTGTCCATCAAAGGATACAGCCTAAGAAGAAGAAAGTATCGTCTTTTAATCGTATCGTATTAATTCTGTACGTGTTGTTGTCCGCGAGTGCTGTTGATATTTGTATTAAGATCATTCTGTACGATATGTAGCAAAAAAAACGGCATTCGCGAGACAAGTTATGGCGAGAAATGTAGCAATATAAAAAATTACAGTCAAGTTCGTACCATCTTTTCCATCCGATAAGAGATGATTTTGGAAATAACGGAGTCAGTTCTGCGACACAAGCTAAAATTGTTGGTAGTAACGAATTTCCTCAGGTTCAACTGGCGTACGTTAAAAATTTCTTTCTTTCTCGTTGCTGATTCGCTCTAGTCGGTAATGTTAAACGAAGTCGCGTAATAAAAGGCTAAGGACATAGTAAGAAACATCGGTACCAAACCCAGAATGATATAAACATTAGAATGTATGGAAACACGAGACAGCACGCACGTGCCAATGGCGATCAAAATTCTATTCAAGATAATTTACGTCATGTTATAACATAACACGGCTTTGTGATAAGCTCGTGCATCGATGGCTGGAACAGCGTAATAAACAAGTGCTATCAAATAAGAGATAATGTAAATAATACTTGCAAATATTACTATGTTAGCACGCGAAAAATTTAGGGAAGTGAACACGCTATCACACTGTTCAGTCACTTTACTGTTTTCACACGGTTTCCAGTCTTAATAAAAGAGATGTTGATATCGTCGCTCTTGTTCTTGTTCTTGCTCTTGTTGTTGCAATTCCTTCCAAACTCGAACAATTTGATCATTAGAAACGCAAACTTTAAAACAAAAGCATTTCATATTCAGTCGCGCGTTAAGGTTTTCATGTCCTCGCTTATTTGCTATTTCCTTTTCCGATCTATCCTCTGTTCTAAACGTATCTGAAAAGTATTACATGACGCCGTCAACTTCCTTTCACTCGATACTTGTCGAAATTGCTCGAATGATCGACCTTGCAATAATCTAATTTTCCTACATACATATGTACACTGTACATGTATGTCAAACCAAATGAAATTACAAAGAGGGGAAAAACATAGTAGCGTATGTAGGAGAAGCGACTTAGTAGGAAACGGATTCCGGATGAGTAAACCGGATAAGTAAATTAATATTCATTGAATATTTACGCGTGTGCGTGTCAATGGAAAACATTGAAATGAACTGAGTAGATTCGCCTGAAATTATTATGTCAAGTTTAATCTCAGTCTGAGCGCAATAGCACATTCCAACATTCCCAACTGTCCCAATTCTCTCAAAATGTTATATGCTCGTGTTTTTTAAATGAAACAAAGGTGAAAGTGCCATAATAGTTTGCACGCACTCCACGAATTGTTACAAAACATAAGAATGAAAATGCGTGTATTGTTTATCGCATGATACTTACTTCCGATACAGGCCATACGACAGGTCGCGTGCCAGATACGTTACCGTTACCAAGCATATCGTGTAGAGTTATCGTCAACGTATTTTTGAAATTACAACGACTTTGATGATCGTTGATGCCATCGACGTTATCGAAGCGACATTTTCGTATAAACGCTCCGTTCGATACCGCATTATTATTTTGATGAGTACAGTGCACCAATACACAAGCGATATAAAGCAACGTTATCGCGACCCCTGACGTAAACATGTGTAGTTGATCAAATTTCAAATCTAATTCGATGTATATGTGTATCTACGAGATAGTGATTATTTCTACCGAGTTTATGGCACAATTTCGAATGTCTCTATGCTAGGCAAACGCGCACTAGTGACCGAGATCTTTTTTCTCATTTTCTTTCCTTTCCACTTTTCATGGTAATTCTCCATCAGTCGTTATATGTTAGTCGAGTTTCCTCACTCTATCTAGATCGTCTATCCCCGCTTATCGTTTCCCGATCTTCTGGCTTAGCTATTCGTCTTTCCCTCTCACCAGTGTATCACGACAATTATTTGTTTCCCAGAAAATGGAGAGTTCGTTATTTTAGCGTTTTGTGCGTTGCTTATAAGTCTTGTTGCTTTTAAGTCACACACACACACACACACACACAAAAGTTGTTCGATACATTTAAATAACTTTCAAACGTAAGTCATAACTTAAAAATCGTAATTTGATCTAAATCGTTTACGTCGAGAGATGCCTCTTCGAAAATGGAAAAGTTCTTATTTAGCAGACGCTTTAGTCCGATTTTATTACCAATTCTATTACAATTTATTTACTCAAAAGTTGTTCGATACATTTAAATAAAGTTGTTCGATACATTTAAATAACTTTCAAACGTAAGTCATAACTTAAAAATCGTAATTTGATCTAAATCGTTTACGTCGAGAGATGCCTCTTCGAAAATGGAAAAGTTCTTATTTAGCAGACGCTTTAGTCCGATTTTATTACCAATTCTATTACAATTTATTTACTCGTCTATCTATTCATCCATTGGTTAATCTCTCCATCTACCTACGTATGTATGAATCAAGAAAATTTGGCAGGTTGATGTAACGTAAGCTTTACGTGGATATGTTTACAATTAAGTGGATCGTTTCTAATATGGTATAATACGTATAATAGCTTTCGTCTTCTTCGAATCAATATCTTCGTAATCGTTGTAAGGAATCCAACAGATGGCAAAAGGTTGTTTAACGGGATATGTTTTCAACGAACAACTGACTCGAATGCATCGAAATCGATGAGAATTTACGAATAACAACGAACAAGCGAAGTACGCGATCAACGTTAAATCCGGATGTAATCGATAATATACCGATTATACAGGGTGGTTGGTAACTGGTGGTACAAGCGGAAAGGGGTTGATTCTACGCGAAAAAAGAAGTCGAAAATATAGAATAACATTTTTTTTATTTTTTTCTTTTTTTTTTTAATTTTTCCATCGAGACAACGATCTACAGTGAGATCCGTTATGACGAGACGTGATAAAGTACAGGCGTACCGAGCGAAAATTCAAAGTCGATTTTCTCGAAAACAAAGTCTCAAACGAAAAATTTTTATTCTATATTTTCGACTTCTTTTTTCGCGCAGACTCACCACCAGTTATCAACCACCCTGTATAATTCGACAATAGACGTAACGTAATAATAAAATTAGAAAAGCGATCGATCGAAGATAAATTAATATAACATATGCAGAATCGTTACGTAATCATTTCTCGCTCACTGAAATTCCCCAACAAAGGAAAACCTCTTCCTGCACCATGCATGGACATGACCGCTATTAGCTACATCGCACTTACTATATATAATATATGTACACGATATTGAAACCGGTGAAGAAACAAAGAACAATTTCTGTAAAGAATTTCACCGGAAGTAGTGGCTGAAATGGTTTCAACTTGTAGCGATAACACGTGATAGGTACACGTCTACGTTTCAGGGCTCCGACAAAAGTTTCATTGTATTGGGTTGGCAACTAAATGATTGCGGATTTTGTCAATAGGTGGTATTGACAAAATCCGCAATCACTTATTTACCAACCCAATATTTGTACCTTTTAATTGGCATGCATAATACATATACTCCAACGCAACCATATATATGTACTGATTGTACATATAGATATCATATATAACAAAATGCTTACCTCTGTATTTTGCTTGATTAACTTTTAATAGTTTGATCATAACACATGATCCTCCCTTTTCGTTATGTCCGTCACATCAGTGATCCGTCTCGCTACATTGGTATCCTCTTTCAAACTTACAATACAGGCAATAGAAATCGTATAATTCTATGTAGACGAAAGGTTTGTTTGATTCGTTGCTTAGCAACTAATTGAATGCATAATAAGGGACATGTTGTTAATCGTCGAATTTCTCTTTTCAAAATTAAAACATTTTCTTGCACCCTGCTGTAGCGGAGCAGCCTAAGAATAAATATTGTCTTCTATTTAGTGATAAGTACGTTTTATGGATCGGTTGCCGAGAAATATTCATGCCTTCCATCCAAAAGATCCGGCTCATGGTACGCTAAATTATGATATTGGAGCTCTTAACAGACGTCAAAAATGCAATTTAAATTCAAGAAAATGTATCGAGAGAAAGAAAAATGAAATTTATTTGAGAACACATCCAGAAATCAAAGGATTAGTTTCGATTTTACTTAGGTAAACTAATTTCTTTCCAATTTTGTCACTTTTACGCAAAACCATGAAAATATATATACATATTAGAAAACGCAACAGCTTCGTCTCAACATTGCAAGTTATTTTCCATACATATGTAGATACGTATTGCACTCACGATGCCCGATGAATGTTCATGAAAATATAGGTGACTTTTTCAATAGACCACGTCATCAGATAGTTGTAGATCTTCTAGAGTACTTTCTGCATACTGAACAACGATTCACGTTTGAAAACGAATGTCAAGCATTAACAGCCGTTCAAGTGGATGATACTGAAATTTGAAGTCATGACGAGCAATACGTGCATCCTGCAAACTATAGATAACGTAACTTTTGTTTATTTTATATTTTGCCTTTTTTTATCGAAAAGAATTTTATTTGAGCCGTCGCTATATCCGGGAGCATCTGCTATCTATAAGATATCTTCTACCTATAAGAATACATTTACAAATCGAATCTTTTAGATAACCTACCAAATCGATCGTTAATCGTTCTAAAAAAAAACATTGTTTTACATTGCGTAGCTCGTCGTTTTGTATGCATTATTTTTCGACATCTCTGTGTTACAAGTATAATTAAATCAAATAATCGTCAAGTTGTTGAAAAACTACTTTATACATTATTAATTCGTCTGTTCCTATTACGTTTCTAACTCATCCAGTGTCGATTCGATTCTACGTATGTCTGATTGTGAATATTGATTTCAACCATTTTCAGGTTAATTAAATTGCTAACAACGATAGTTGGCACACAATATACTTTTGTGAAATTTCCGGTTATTTACAGGGAAGGGAAACTTGCGATTGCTATTAGCGTTCAATGAGTACTGACCAGTCAGTGAGTTTCCGGCATCGACGACTACATACTTACTTGGAATTACGCCGTTGATTAGCATTTCTCGATCATTAACCGTTCGTTATAAACTATTATTTTCTGTAACATTTGTAACAATTACAATTTTCTACTATGGTTGCAATTGTTCTTTGACATTGAAAATCTTATATGTAGCCGCGTTGCCTCATTACCGTTATATCTAAGCAGACTCGATCTTCGATCAGTCTGACCGAAATTTATGACCATCGTTTCTTTCATTACTTACAATTTCTACGTGTCGTCATTCTATGGCTAACCCGTAACTCTATTACAGTGCTCGATTGCGTAACTGCAAATTTTCGTTTATGTGTAATTGCATAAAAATAAAGCTCTAGGTATGCAGGCAACGGATGTATGCTGTTGACTGTGCAGTACTGTGCACTGTGCATGGTGCGTATGAGCGCGCGCGCGCGCGCGCATCTGCCATGTACATGTCATTCTGGGTACGCAACATACAATTATCGCGGAGGTTTATCTTATTTATCAAGGCTTATCGCATGTTGCACAACATATAGATGAACTAAACAATTATATAACGATGAAAAAGGTTATGGTCACATGCAATAGTAGATACACGCATGTACACCACATTCGTTTATATAAATAAAATTTGATTAAAACTTGATAATCATATCTATGAGTTAGATATGAAGAAAATCTTTAAACATATGAAATGTGAAATTTTTACAATCATTTACAGTTATTTACGTAGAAATTATTAATAACGTTATTTGGGTATTTTCTTGGCCACACACTGTCACACCCATAATTTCGGTAAATAGGATAATTAGAAAGAAATTAATGGTTAGCTACTACAACCAAGCCAGAAAAAGTTTCGTTACTTATATCGATTACTGTAATAAGATTTCGAACAGAAACATTGAAGTACATAGTTACATATGTGTGTAAGGATGTACGTATGTTCTTGTATACGTTCGTGGTACATGTTTTGTTGCTGAGAAGCGTCAACTGGCGATGAGAACCAAGGGCCGAGAACGGCGAGAACCAAAGAGGTTACGAGAACGAACGAGGATACTCGAAAGCAGCCGAAGTGCCGCGTGGTACACGAAAAGAATTGCTGCGCCCTCAGTCGTGACTCGATCGTCGCGGTGAGTCGTTTGTAGTCGTTTATAAACTATCGTTATCCTAAAATTGATTGAATTTTTGTATATTATTATAATTGTGCGCACAATTTTCATATTTCTTTCGATAATCAACGTTAATTCTTTTGTTGAAAGATGGCAAATATGATTACAAGTGAGAATAATTGTCCAAGGAACAGAGAAACGGAGCGTAGCTTGACAGTCGGTCACGAAGCGATCGATTTTGAAAGGAACGCCGTTCTTCGAAAATACGGAACCAATCGATCGTACGCTAACCTTAGAGAGTAGAAGACCGAATAAATGGATACCTAATACGAAACGCATCGAATCAGTGATTGTATGTTTATAAGTGGCAATGAGGACGCGCGGTTTGGATCGATCAAAGAATTAGAATAGTTCTTTCTCTCTCCCTCTTTCTCTCTCTCTCTCTCTCTCTCCCTCTTTCATCTCTTTCCCCTTATTTCCCATCTCTCCCTCCCTCCCTTCCTTCGGAAGAGAATGAAAGTGTGCTAGAAAAAACGTGACATCGAGTGCATTGATCGTGATTTCCTTTTCCTTTACGTATTTCGTGTATAACGTGTGTTACGACACGTATGTGCGTTATTTCTAATATATACGTGTATGCGCCTGTGCGTGTGCATGCGCGCGCGCGCGCGAGCTCCGGCGATGTCAGAAGTTCATCGCATGAAAGCAATTGTCGGTTTTGTTCGATAAGAATGGGGCTGCCGGTGATCGACCGACGGTTAGTGGTTTAACGTAACATAACATTACTTGACGCTACTGCAAACATAGTATGCATATTGGTGAATATAGATGAGTGACACATGTATACGTAGCTGGTATACAAATACATGGGGATATAGTTAGTGCGTGTGCGTAGGTGGGTATCGAATATAATGTGGGTGTGGGTGTGCGTTGTTCGTACGTATGGACGTTCGTACGTACGCGTATTTTGTGGTAACGTGTAATGGCATGGAAATGAGGCGCGCGCGAGTGTCACGCCGAAAGATACGCCTCTCGCCTGGAAAGCTACTTTGTGCTCTAAACTCGAAAGGAGAATCCTCTCGCGAGTGGCCGTTCTTACCGGTTTAACCTCGTCGACATCGTGCGTGTGTTCCTTCTGGCCTTTGATTCTATTTATCCGGTTTTCGGATACATCTGTAATTTTCCATTGAATTTTTATCATCATGTATTAACATCAAGTTACAACGATTGTAAAGGGTCTCGTTCGTCATTCACGACCTTCTTCAGAATCTTTGGATATCCGAAAGAAAAATGCGCAACGAGTGGCTAAGAAACTTGTTCGCGACAGCAATTTTCGCCCTTATGGTACATGGTAAGTCTCCCTTCCTTTCTAAATCTCTCTATTCCTAAATCTGTTAACTTTTCTTTGACGTTCCTCGTACTCTCTCTCTCTCTTTCTCTCTCTCTCTGTCTCTCTCTCTCTCTCTCTCTCTCTCTCTCTCTCTCTCTCTCTCTCTCTCTCTCTCTCTCTCTCTCTCTCTCTCTCTCTCTCTCTCTCTCTCTCTCTCTCTCTCTCTCTCTCTCTCTCTCTCTCTCTCTCTCTCTCTCTCTCTCTCTCTCTCTCTCTCTCTCTCTCTCTCTCTCTCTCTCTCTCTCTCTCTCTCTCTCTCTCTCTCTCTCTCTCTCTCTCTCTCTCTCTCTCTCTCTCTCTCTCTCTCTCTCTCTCTCTCTCTCTCTCTCTCTCTCTCTCTCTCTCTCTCTCTCTCTCTCTCTCTCTCTCTCTCTCTCTCTCTCTCTCTCTCTCTCTCTCTCTCTCTCTCTCTCTCTCTCTCTCTCTCTCTCTCTCTCTCTCTCTCTCTCTCTCTCTCTCTCTCTCTCTCTCTCTCTCTCTCTCTCTCTCTCTCTCTCTCTCTCTCTCTCTCTCTCTCTCTCTCTCTCTCTCTCTCTCTCTCTCTCTCTCTCTCTCTCTCCTTCCTCTGTTCTCTATGTACTTATACATTTCGGAGATTTATATCTTTTTTCGCTTTTTAAACACAACGCCAGGCCTTCACATCTACATCGTATGTAAATTTAACTAGCGTAAGAGGAAAGAAAATACAATCAATTATTTATCATCATCGTCATCGTCGTCGTTATCGTCATTATTTCTTGATGCCTAACCATTGTCATAATGAAATAATTTTAGAAAATAGTTTTTTCACTCTTCTACGTAATAATACCAATTATCAATAATACCGTAATACCAATCACAATAAATTGGAAATTTTTTGTTTAATTTAATACAACGAACCGTTAAGTTTATAGTTTAATAAAAAGGAGTTCAAGCAGAGATACATATTTCTTCTTTTACGACCTCTTGTTCTCAGACGTGCGATAACAAATGAGAAAAGAGACTGACACAAATGGTAATGTTCCTTGAAGATAAATCTTTTGTTCTTGTGAAGTTGGTCTCATTGAATCGACGTTAAAAACAAAAGTCAAGTGAAATTGGGGTGATAATATATCACTGACAACGAAGAATCACGTGCTTGAAAATGGTTGCTTTTAACAGATATGTAACAGAAATTATTCGAGCATGATCAATGACAAAGAGTAAATAACTATGATTTCTGTATAAATAATTCAATTACTTTTTTTATGTCGTTATACAGCTTCCGTTTGAAATAAAACGGAACGCAATCTATTATGTTACAATTTACAATTACATAAATCAATGCCTATAATACGATACCATATACAGCTTTTGTCGATAAAAGTCTCAGTATTTTGTCTAATATGTATATGTACACGTATATGTGTATGTAGTATATGATGATTACAAGTGCGGAAATAAATATCTTTTGTTTCCTTTGCAAACTCAAAGAACAATCAGAACGTGATTATATTATACATGCATAGATAGATTTGATCACGAACTTGTGTAATCATGCAAGCGAATTTAATTTATAAATGTATCAAAACAGTAAAAAATTGATCAATGAAATATCTACTGTAAAAATGAATACAAAATTATTACTATACTAATTGTAAGTAGTTCAACGCCATAATGATAATAAAGTTTTATATGCATTATGTATATTTTAAACACGAGATAAATAGTTTGACATAATCGTCTTGAGTAAATTACTATTACATTAGATATACACTATATATGTGGAATTAATGTATATAGAAGACAAATAGTTTGAAAAAGGTCATATTCAAAACGTTCTTTAACCATGTTCCTCAGCTTCTATGTCCTTCCACCTTCCTTCACCTATACGGTGGAATTAGGAAGTTACTTTTTCAGTGGGAGAACTTTTATTCTCCGTAAAGAATAACGCTATCGATTTCATTGAGAAATTTTAAACTGATATATATGTAAAATTATATTTGTGATATAAAACACTTTCTCTTCCAAATGAAAATGCAAAAGCCCTTAATATCGAAACGTGTCGTACAATTACTTTAACGTGTTAAATGTATATGTATCCGCATAGGTATATGTATACGTGATACTGTGTTTACAAATATTGTTTTTCCTAATTAATTTGATCTCGATCTAAGCTGTTAGAGAGAATTTCCAAACTTGCACTGAAAGAAATTGATATCCAAATATGAGTATAATATTTTCTTTTCTTTAATAATTAACATTTCAGTAACATATCATATAGTGGACTTAAATAAATATTGCTTGTTTCCGAGTATCGGTGATATTGTTCTCTTTATTAAGTTGACACATAATAACGATAATGAACGATAATGAACGATGAAAAGGCGAAATACGATACAAAGATTTATTTCGTTTAATACTGTTCTCGATATTGCATAAAATTATAAATAACTAACAGACAATACAACTTAGGAATGATTTTGCGTTGATTACACTCTAGTAAAAAAGACACGGTATTGGATGATAGACATTGGCTGGTCTATTTTTGTGGATGGAAAGTCTGGCGAAGGTAGCCGAGTATCACCGATGTGAAACGAAACTATTAGGTTATGCGCGACACTTCACAGGATAGAAACGAACCACCAGCGATTCGTACGAAGCGAATCTGTCCATCTGTCTGTGAACCTTACGAATAACCAATACATCTACATTTACAATATTTGTCGACTAAGTTACAGCATACCTACAGAATAAAGAATACCATACAGATCTGTGTATAACCTAATAAGATCGATTACAAGATCACGTAAAAATTGTTCGAAATAATAAAAGATCATTTTCGATTAAAAGGGTAAATTTTTGCTGAAATTTACCTATATGCGTATCGTGGAATGGCGTAAACTCATTTTATTAAACGACTCGTAAGTGTGCCATTCCAACAATTTAATTTGTTTCAACTTCGTTAGTCTTCTTCCAATGGATGTTTTTAATTCTCACATATCCATGTCTGATATTAGGCCGTTGAAGATTTAAGACTCGAGAACAATAACACTCGCGATATTTACGTTTCTTATTCGCAAAGATTCTTTCCACATTCTACGTTCTCTAGAAAAATTGGCAATTATTTTAACAGCTAAAAATCTTGAAAAACATACTGTTGCATTTCAAACATATCAGACGTTTAGAAAATAATAAATAAGGAAACCATAGCAAATATAATTTTACGTGCAATGGCTGCAAAAATAACATTTGCAATTCTTTGCAAAAATAGGGAAAATTGAATACTTGCGTTGTCGATTATGGAATCTAGGGATCAAATTTGGAAAAAACCTTCCCGATGCTATATTGGAAAATTTTTTTTTTGGAGCATTTTTGTATAATGGAATGGATCGATCGTTCTGCTTCTAATGATCAACTCTTATGCGATATGCTTAATGTTTATACTTCTCAAAGCAGTAGTAACGCTTGAAGAAAAAAAAAAAAAAGAAAGGAGAAAAAGAAAAAGAGTAAAAATTAAAATGTTACAGTCTTCGTCTTTAATTGGCCTCATATTGTTTTCGTTCGATTAATATAATTATTCTAATTTCGAATAATTCAATTATTTTGAAATAAGCGTAATTTACAAAATCTTGAACTACAGTAAATGAATAAAAATGTTACATTATACATGTTAGATACAACGGTGCATTTTAAAAATCTCAAGATAATGACACCAAAGCAAACGATTTTTTTTTTTATTTTAGTGCGCGTTACCTATAAAACTGACAGATGTCGATGATCGAATATTAACTTTAAGTTTTACATTCTGATTTGCAAATTTAATAAATACAGAATGCGCTACAAACAAGAAATATTAATATACGTAATATGTATCAGCAATACACGTTCGTACATAACTATCTTGTTTAATGGAAGAGAGTAGAAAATTAAAATATGCATGTACTTGTTTCATACAATAAAAGCTATGACGCTGTAAAACGAAAAATGTACTTAAAAAATAGATGTAAGACGATAACGATATCAAACGGTTATTTAAATGTTACTCCAATATTTTAAACTTTCTACACCTTTTACAAGTATATATTCTCCTTATTTTCATAATAATACAAGCTAATAAGTGAGTACTGTTGTTTAATTTATTGAATATCAGATTAAATATCAGATGAATATCAGAGTGATTTAGATGTGAAAATCTGAAGCATATTCACCATATTGTGAAATACGCAAGAAGAAGAAAACACTATACATGCACTGTACGTATTTCATACACTTTTGCGATATACGAGTATGCGAGTGTACCTATATTAGAAAACATTTAAGAATATTCGTGCGTTTGACAGCAAGAATATATGGATAAAAATATAAAATGTTATCATGGTTATTATTTAAGAATGAACGCCTAGATTGTTGTTTCAGCGGCAATGGCGCTTAATCTCGTCGCATAACTTTGACATACAAAGACAAAGACGTACTTTGAACAGGAACAAATGGAAAATTAGTTAAAATAGAAATAGAAAGCTATCATCGATTCTCTTCGAATAATAGAAAGCTGCTATTTTTTCCACAACTTTGGACAGCCCTGCTCTGAAAGAACTCGAGTAGGGTGTGTCGGCCGAACCCTCTTCGAAGGTTCCGTACGTCTTAGGTTTCCCTCGCGTCTCAAGGAATTCAATGGTTATTCCCGTTTCGTCTTCTACCTTCCCCTCTTACAAGAATATCCTTCTTAGGGATCGAAAGTAATGAAACTGTTTCTTCCTTTTTTTCCCCCTTTCCCTTTCTCTTCCTTTCTTCCTCGCTTCTCTGCTTCCTTTCTTTCTGCGTTATTTCTTTCGATTGCCTTTTCTCTGACATACAAGCTCAAACACACATGCACATACAAATCACTTGAAAAATCACGACAACAACCTATTAGTTGCAAATGCTGTTCGCGTGAAATAATGTTCAAGAAGTACAAAAAAAAGATAATAGAATAATAAAAATAACAATGCGAAGAATGACAACGATTTCAGGATATATAAAATAATTCTTTCGAAACATTTTGTCGGTTTATCGTGATATACATACCATTGGACACTCGCCAAATGTACTGCGGTACATTGTACTATGTACTTTTCAACCTACCTTCTGCCCTTTCTCCTTGTTCCTCTTCGTCTACTTCTGCTTCCATGGAATCTTATATTCTTATATAATCTTGTATAATATATTTCTCTCTCAATTTTAGGAATATCTACATCCACTTGCATTTCCTTATACAAGATAGGAAGAGATTATTTGTAACATGTTGATTAAGATATTTTCAAAGAGCGTAATCTTCGTCGTCTTCGTATACTTTGAATATCGAGAATTCGATTGAAAAATCAAATATAAAATGGAGAAAGGGATTAGTATGAACAAAGAAATGAGAAATGATGACTAATCGAATGACGATATGCTATCCTGATGAAATATATGGATATACGATATATGTACATATGTGCGTATATGTAATATGAAAAGAAAGGAAAGGAGTGAAAAAGGGAAAAAGAGGAACTGATGGAGATATTGAGATTCAGGGGAAAAGAGGACAGAGTAGAAAAACATAAGTAAATTGGGAGAAAGAGAAAGTCGAGTAAAACGTTGTACGTGCGATAAAAAAAGGATAAACGATTTACAGAAAGAAAAGAAATCTATGATAGGGGAAAAGAACAAGATCCGGCACAGCTGGCAGAGTCTCCGAAGACGGCGAAACGAGTAGAACCTACAGAGCTGAAGCGCAACAGCGGCAAATCAATACTCACGTTGCAGTTGCGAAGCTATAAGCCAAGTCATCGTGTGTGCAAGAATTCTGTGCTTTAATCTCTGTAAGATTATCTTCATAATCGCCGAAATTAGTTCTCGTGTCTGTCGGTGATCTTATTGACAGAATTTTTGTACAAAAATTTGAACTCGTTGGACGTATCGTTGGATTAATAACACATACATGATGCTTACATACACATATAATATGTATTTATATGTTGGCGAAAAGCATTATGCATAGAAGCAAATATCCGACTGTTTCGAAACTTTGGAATTTCATTCATGTTTGTTATTTTACAATATCTTTGGCAGATTTTGTCAAGTGCTGTAACTATTGCGACGGAAAATTGAATATACATATTTGACATATTTGTAAATGTTGATCGAAATTAGCAGGGTTTGGAGATTATATTGGGTTGGCAAATAAGTGGTTGCGGATTTTGTCAATACCACCTAATGAAAAAATCCGCAATCACTTAGTTGCCACCCTAATATTTATAGGAAAAGAAAAAGAGGGGGAGAGGAGAATAGAAGGAGAAGTAAAATATAATATGTCAAAAAATGAAGAAAGACGAAGAAACAGAGAGAGAGAGGGGGGGGGGTGGATGTGATAAAATAGGAAAGAAATAAGAGAGTGACAGCGGGTTGGCAAGGCAGGTTGCCGAGATAGCTTGATTCGGAGAAGGTTAGGACTGAAATGAAACGAGATGCCTCGGGCCTACCGAGCATAAGAACTGGGAGTTGGTTCACGTGCGCTCACGACTCTGTTCAACAGCGAAATATGAAAACTCCGGAGGCGATTTTAATTTAGCCACAATGTCTATTGTTTCCGAATACTGAAGCGAGAGGACAAAAGAGAAATGCGCAAATGTCTATACATGCATAGTGCATACATGTTTGGTACATATACAAATGAACACCGTCAAAGACATTTATAGAGTACGATAAAGATTGTGTATCCAAGCGTAGATAAATAAAGGCATCTGCCAAAGTAATAAAACCCAGTCACTCTTTAAAAACTTATTCGTTATTCTCTGATTATATAAATCCGTCTTTATTTGAATGTTTCTTTAACATGCGACTAAAGTAAAAATAAAGTAAAAAGAATTGGTAATTATATAGAAGGAGGTATACACCTGGCCGATTTTAATGATTTTCAAATGTATCGTTAAGATCAATATTCTGAGTAACTTTTTAACTACCGCTCGACATTAATTTCCAACATACATATTCATAAAAATATTTTTGCTACTTTTTATCTTGAGGTGGGTTAGGATCGGGTTGACTTTATGTACGGGCATGATGGTGTCACGTCGGGGACACAAGAAATCACGAAACCGATAGATCGCCGGTGATCTCCTCGCGTCGCAGTTCGAACGTTTCACGAATAATGGAATTTTTATTATATAAATCCAACAGAGTGACGGTTCAAAGTGTTGCAACAGAATAATGTCTTGAGCGCTAATTTAGGAGGGTTTTTATATTGAGGTTTTAGTCCCTTTGGAGGGGTTATCGTCGGATGTATATCAGAGGCGGCTATTCCATTACTGTTTGGTTATTATTTCGATAGCTGTGGCATGCAGGATGTTTCGTCGACCTGATTACTGTTTCTGAGCGGATGGCCTTCTTGAGCGTGTGACAATGGCATTATAGGATGCGTTCACAGATCTTGCGTATCAATTTTTTAGGTACAGAAAGAATAAGAAAGAAACTCAACTCACCTTAGCTGTGCGTGAGCCACGACTACGGACATACATATAATAGTATCGTGTCCGCACATAAAGTCAACATTTTGTATGTGTGTGCGTGCGTGCCTGCGTTTATATGTATGTATGCGTAGAAAAGAGTCGCTCAGCATCATGGCAAAGACCTCGTGAACAAATTTGAAAATCATGGAAGGCGGTGAGACATACCTCCTCTGTATATATAATTATAATTACCAAAGCATTCGTTCTCTTTCCTCTTTTTTCCTCGATTGTTTATCTATATCTTATTCTGTCATAGAAGCAAGTGCGCGCCTAAAAAGTATCAAAAATTCTCATAACGCAAAGATATATTTTAGAAATATATTCAAGGATTCATCGGCCTCCTCGTGTACACATACATTTCGTCGCGTCTATATCCCTATGTACGTTCACTTGTCTGTTGCGAGTATACGCAATACGTGTATGTCGTGTTACGCTAAAATCATAAAATGTGCTCCCTATAATATTATTATATAAAAACACGTGCACGCGTACATACATATATCTTATAAACTTATCGCGTTCTTTCTGCATTCTTATTTCCTGTTGCCACATTTCAATACGTGTCAATATTATAATCATCCACTGACGAAATCGCTTCGTTCGCTATAGAAAAGAACACTAGGGATAAACTTTTATAAACAAAGAATTTCTTAATTACGGCAAAGAACGGCCGCACATCTCGGAATTTAAATGAACGTTCTTACAGATGTGCAACATTTCTCGGCTGATTTTGCTTTAGACGTTCACGTTCGAGTAGAATTTGCAGACTGCACGAAGCGATTGTAAACTACTTGTGGTCTATAGGTTGTATCTGTACCCTGTGCGTTCCAAGAATATTTTAGAATCCCTCTAGCTATATCGGGATAGTTGAAATAGCTTTGTTCAAGCATGGAGTTTGAAGCAGGTAACGTAAGCGTGTCTATCTTCATCGTACAACCAACAATTTAGAGGCTATGTTATACATTGTCGAATTACAACCGACCTAAATAAGAGCGCGCTTGTTGGCATACAAGATATGTACATATTACATATCTAACACATACACGTACATGCACCCCCCCCCACACACACACACACACACACACATCGGATACAAGTAAAATTCAACACAATAGCGAAACGACAGAACTTACGTACTTGGGTACGTACAGTAACTACAAAAAGTATTCGTATATATCCTTATTTTCCGATGAAGTGTTTTTTTATCAGGTTGCACGTTTCATTGTAGATATTATAAGATTTTTTGGTCATATGAAAGCGTATACGTATTACCAAATCATATGAAATTCGATATAGCTACGTGGATTTAATTAATACATAAATACAACGTAATAAATAAGTGCAACGTATATTGACAGATGTATATATTATAGAAAGTTTGTCTATAGAATAAGAATGAGAAATATAACGATGTAACGATGAATAGGAAAAATGGAAAATCGGGTGAAACATCGATATGTATATTTTTGGCTGTAGCGTTACAATTGTCTTTAATACGAATCAATCATAATATATGAAAATATTCTGGTTCCAGGGCAATTGAGATCACCGCGTATAACGGAACATCCTTCGGATATAATAGTGGCCAAGAATGAACCGGTAACATTGAATTGCAAGGCGGAAGGTAAACCTCAGCCCGTGATTGAGTGGTATAAGGACGGTGAACTGGTTCAAACATCACCCGGAGATGCAAAATCACATCGTGTTCTTCTTCCTACGGGATCTCTTTTCTTCTTGAGAGTAATGCACGGGAAAAAAGAACAAGACGGAGGAGTGTATTGGTGCGTTGCAAGAAATCAAGCAGGCTCTGTTCCAAGTCGAAACGCAACGCTAACTGTCGCAGGTGAGTCTATCCGAGATCATCTTTAGTTACATTATCTAAGATGAAATCGTTTCAACAATCATGCACAACCAGTCGCAAATTTCTCGATAACGTGAAAAGTACGATAATACGTATAATAGATCGCGTACTTTGCGCCGTATAGTCGCGTAGTGTCGCATACACGTGTATATACTCTTATTGCGTGTACGTGTGTTATGTATGAGCAATGCGAAGAACGAAAGAAATTAGAGTAAGGTTGATCTGTGTATTTGTACAAAACAAAGAACGAGTCGATTACGTTCGAATAAACGGAGGACGAAGTCGAGTTTGTTTAAGGCAGATCGATATTCAGGCGAAAGGAGAAGGGGGTAGGAAGAGAGAGCAGACAGCAACCCTTCCACATCGAATAGAACCCATCTCTTTACTCGCATTTTGCGATCGCTAAATTGCTTGCAATTTTGTTACACTTGTGCATATAATAATCGCAAAACAAAAGAGAACACCAAATTCGCGTAAACAGTGCAATTGTGATTATAGCAATCAACTAAGTTCAATTAGCAAATATTAATAAATATATACGCACCGAATGGTAGATACGCGACATATCGAGTTCGAAAGACAAATTTTATTCCTATAATCAAAACTGTGTACACTCTCATAAATCCATAATGTGTGAAAAAACGATAATAATGTGGAATGTAGAAAAAACACAGAAATAATTTATATTAGAATAGATGATTGCTTCTCTTCCTTCAGTATTCGTTACGCAGTCCTGTAACTTGACTCCTTAGAAAGGGATTCATTCGAATCTATTCTATCGTGTTTCACACGAACCGTTGCTTGTATTAGTTTGTCCGAAAAGTTTCTTTCATTTTATGCGGAAATAATAGACGCACAACGTTTTTTTTTTTTTTATATTATTTTATCGAATTATGGTTTGTATGAAGGTGCACTGTTATAAAAAACACGTTGTGTTTTGTAAAGAAAGACACTTTTCGGACAACCTAATACTTACTTACACATAAATGAAATACATATTGCATTAAGGATGAGGATAATAAATAATACGGAAAATAAGTAGATTTGTGAAGAAATTGTGGGAAAGAAAAAGCGGAGACTATAGATAAATAATAAAAATAGAGGAGAAACGAAACGAAGAGAATTTGGAAAGGAGGATACGAATAAAAATTGTCGGTTACGAAGAAATTGCTGCATATTATGCGTGCAATCGAAGATTGAACATACACGTTTCTGCATATGCATATATATGCGCATTACGCATGCATGTTCGAGTAAAGAAAGAGTGAGAGAAACGGTGGGGATGAAGGAGAAAAGAGAAGGAGAATAGAAATCGATACGGAGCTGTATCTACCGCGAGCGTATGCTCGACCAACAGAGTGCTGTGTTGTGCGACGTGATGCAGCATAGTTTGTCATGAATAGGTGGTAGTGTGTTGTATGCAATGTATATATTCGCATTAACACGATTTTCAAATCAAATAGATCATTTTATTTTGGAAAATTTCTTTGAACCTTTACCGTTTGTCAAGACAAATTTTCAATCTCATCGTCATGTCAATTGAAAACTATTACACTTGTATTTTACTGATTGATAATTGTCGAGTGAGTGGGATATTATACTGTATAATTTCCACTTGGTTTTCGTTCCTTTAATTACGTAGGCACCGCAAATCGATTATTTTCACACATCATAACGCCTTTATGTCTCGTGGATCTCGTGTGTCTTTGCACACAATTCATATCTGTATTTTTACCTAACAAGTATCTCTTTCCTCGTCATATTTTTTTCTTCTTCTTTATCCCAACAAATATATTCGTGGAAAGGACGACAGGAAAAGAGATGGAGTGCATTTTCTCGCGTTTCGTGTACCTATTTCGAGACTCGTATCCACGATTGCTTTACCGTTTTCATGCGCCCTTCTCTAAATTCGTGACTTTCGTTAGAGAATATCGTTATCACCGAATATTCTTTATTTTGCCATCGTGTATGTATGTATGTGGAAATTTTGTCACACGAACTCGATATTCGACGCCGCGCCGATAAAGATGGTGATCGCAATGGCCGTAGACTGTATACTGCAGACTGTAGACTGTAGACGCAAACGGCAGTTATGGCCGACGACTATGAATAAGGCTTTGTGCTGCGAGTATACTGTTCGACCGACTCGCACCGAAATATACTGGTCGAGAATGAAAAAAAAGAGAAAGACGAGGAAAAAATTGTAAAGGAAGAATAGAGAGCCGATAAGAGAAAATACGAACAAAAGGAAAGGATAAAAAGATCTGCAGTCAGGATGATCTAACGCGGGACTACCCTGACCGGTCGACGATTGAAGAAATATCGATAATGCGTCGAACCAATAAAAGAAAAAGAAGAGATCGAATTGCTCGTTTTGCCGAATATTTAACATGAAAGGAGAGAAATTCGTAGGGATAGGCGACAACGTAATTGCGTATGTGATAGACGAACGTAGAGAAACTTTTGGTACGAGACAAGCAGCTTTAAAGACCCATCTATATTTAGAGCGAAGAAATGGATAATAAGAACAGTGTAGCCTTGATGATTGAATATCGAATCGATCGTCGATCGACGACATTTTATTAGTTATATGTACGTATAGGTGTGTAGTTAGTTTATCAAACTGATATCGACTTGACAAGATAAAGTCAACGAAAACGTTGGATCGACTTTAGCTTTCCGGATTTTCTTCGATTCTCGCCTCGGTGAAATAACACCTATCCATCCGTTTGCTTGCAACCCTCCGATGTCCGGGGAACCCCATTCGGGACCCTCGTTCTCTCTATCCAACGCGTATCGATTAGCCGGACGGCATAGTACCGCTGTGCTGGCTGTGCTGTGCCAGGGTTACTTCGCGCGGCTTTTAGGGGAAAAGAGGAGAAGAAAATGAGAGTCGGAGGGTTGGACGAGCAAAGAGAGTAAGAGACGCGTAGAAAGAGAAAGATATAGCGAAAGAGGGGGTAGAAAATGGGGAAGGGTGAGGGGAATGGAGAGGATAGCGAAGAGGTGTTACAGCTTTTAATCCCAAAGGAGAACGACGTTCTATATCGACGGATTCGTTGATACAAAGTACCGACAGTATATAACCTATTCGCTTATTCGGTTTCTCCAAAGTCGAAAGAGAAGTCAACGGATAAGCTCCTTACCGCAACCAATTTATATGTGTATAATACGTGTACATATGACGCGTGCATCAGACTTGTTTTCATTATTAAGAGCAAATTATTATTATATACATTTCTCTTGTACCATTTTTCTCTAACTGTTACCTATATATATGTATATGTAGACGTATATTATCGTCGAGGCAATCTATTTTTACGTACTATTTTTACGTAGTCTAATACTATCTTTTTACTTTTGCTTTCAACGATGTTTTTTTATTTGGAACTGTTTAGAAGACGTGATTCGTTCGTCAATCGTATCTTACGAAATTAAGCGTTTGGTACACGTATCTATCTAATTAACATGTGGTATCTTGTTACAGTAGAAGGAGGTAGGAAGGGCAGGGAGAAAGAGGAGGAGAAGAGAGGAGAGGAGAGAAAGAGAAAGAGAAAGAGACTTTTATCAACGATATTCGATTTATATTGTTGGTTGGTAGTCGCTGGTTGCACATTGCACATGATAAAATTCAAGTGTCTCCTGCTCGCGTTAAATTCAAAAGAACAAGACCTTTTTTCATGTCGTACTTGCGAGGGTAGCCTAACTTCCGTTCTCATTCTTTCATAGCCTGCAACATAAGTGCAGTAAAAGTCTTGCCTGGAAGGTCACGAACCATAAGAAAATTTACTCCAAGAATAATATGCCGTACTTTGTAGAAGCAGGATGCAAAGAATACGGAAAAATAATGAGAAATTTAACGTTCTTTTGCTGTATATATGTATTTGTATATACGTCAGTACGTACGTGTATATTAGATTATATCATACATACATGTACAAACGTTTCGTGTAGTTGAAATAAGGTAACAAATACGAGAGCCGACCAATACCATCCTCACGTTTTTTTAACAAAACAAAGTTAAGAAAGTTCCCATCATATACAGTCGCATTCCCTTATCGTTTATCATATATGTAATCAGTGATACGTGTAATCAATTTATAATAACAGGACACACACAGTACGGTTATTTTTTTCTTCCAAACTCGTACAGATCTTCCTATAGATTTGTATGTTACAAGTGGTAAAGAGTAAACGCTGTTGAAACAACGACTCCATTCAGTTCGAATCGTACCTATAGTAGGTATTTCCGGCGTGGACAGCTAAGTTTGCAATGTACAGTTTGAGAGTTGCGGTGCATACAAAAGCTTATCGCAAGATACAATCTACGAACACCGATAAATATCGAACAGCTACCACTCACAGTCATGTTCACATTTGCTTTTCCGTTTACGTTTACATTTGCGTCTCTAACTCTCTATCCGATCTGGTGGTTTTGATATCCGATTTACGAAGCTTTCACTTTCATTCGTGCTTTTATATATCTTTTATCTGCCTGTGAAACTGTTCTTTGAATCGCTGTTTTCGTCGTACGAACTCTTATCCCCCCCCCCCTCCGCTGTTTCTTCTTAAACATTTTACGTAATTTATGCAATGATACGATTAAGAGTAGATAGTAGTATATGAATGTAGTATTCCGTATAGTTGTTCTTGATACTCTTTCGCATCTATGTAAGCGTCATAGGGATAGTAATGGGGCATATTCCTTCGTTCTTGTATGCACGTACAAATCCCATTCCTACCCAGTATGCGATGTACCTCTGTGATATATGTGCGTGAGTACGTCCAACTGCCACGCCTACCGACACTACGGTTTAATTGAGTAATCGAGTACCCTCGCGACGTAGCCTGAACCAGAGGAAGAGGAGGAGGAGGAGGAGGAGGAGGAGAGTCACTTTCGACTGTATCCCCTCTCCCCCCTTTTGCTATCCGTCCTCTTGTACACTACCACCCCTTCTCTCGGTCTTCCTCCCTTTCGTCGCTTTATTTGGCAAGGATTATAAAATTAAAGAATTGCAAGATTTGGCAAGTAACAACGACAAAAATCTCTTCTTTTTTAGAATAGCGCGCAACGACGAGTACGTTAATCACAGCCCTTTAGAAACGCACGTACTCGTATTTGGGAAACGTGATAACGTACAGGAGCAAGGAAATATGAAAGGAAGGTCCAAACGTATTAATATTTCACGTAGAATTGGATCGGGAGGAAAAATATCGTAGCAAGTACTAAGATATAAAGTACAAAAATAGTAAGATCGAATGGCGTGTGACGTGAATTATATCGCTCGTCCGGCTTAGGGAAATCAGGGACTCGATGTGACAGGAACCAGACAGAAACGATGCAATTTAAATGTTAAGCGAACGGTCACGGTATCGTATAGTCAGGTACCATACGTAATGCGTATTTTACCGAGATAGAGTGTGCGTGTTAACGGGATTTCGTGAATTCAAACGCGATGGTTAAATCGAATCTGCCGTCGTATAAACTTCCTCCGCTCTTCCTTTCCGCTTTCAAAATTGTTCGTGTCAAAGACGTTAACTTTATGTACACGGAGAACCGTAACAGAGGGCGGAGAACCGGAGGCAAGACGCATCTACGGATATGGAGATCTTAACGTCGAACGAAGGACTGGCCTTCGAAGGGAAAATACCAAGTACCGCGTCGGTCTTTAAGCTCTAAGTATAGAAGGGCTTAGAAACAAGATTATCGTAGGTACATGTGTACGTATAGTATATGATACGTAAGTAAGCATTCGTCTGTTACGTATGTAGATAAATATGTATTCGTTTCTTCGACTAGAAAGCGACAACTTTGTCTGTAGTTCGATAGTTGTGTGTTGTCTATCGAATAGTCACACGAGGACACGAACGGCTGCACACTCGTGTCTATTTATATCGAATCCGTGGGCATACCGGACCAGACTGGCGCGTCGCGTCGCGAGCAACTGCTGTGCCGACAATTCCTCCGTCAACATGGCCAATCTTAAACGTTTCGAATTTCGGATAAACCTCTATCGCATCTTTCACTCAAAAATCATAAAAACTGTAACGAAGACAGCGCATTACGCTTCGTTAAAGAAATGGATATTTATCCGTGTATCTGCATTGCCATCGTAAAATCATTGCCAGTGTACTACACTCTATAACAATAACAAAAACAATAACACTGACAGTGAAAGAAAGAATTTATTAAACTATCGTAATATACAGTTTCTCTATTCTCTCTATTCTTAAGTGTTGTTAGAGAGAGAGAGAGAGAGAGAGAGAGAGAGAGAGAGAGAGATCAATTTGTTCAAATTCACTTGTGCGTTAAGATTAAAAATAAAAATACAAGTATCAAATTTTTAGATCGATCGCACGTATCTATAAAATTTGATTTATAGAACGAGTGAATCGAGTAACTATTACGTATATGAAGGCATTGTCGAATTTCTTATCCCGCTATGTTTCATATTGTACACCACGTTCGATTTTAACAATTTTGTCAAGTACGATGTATCTGTTATATCGAAATCGGTTAACGTTGTTACGAATTGCAAACGATTAAAAATTACAACAGTAACCTTTCGATGCCTGCCGCCGCTTGCTTCTGCATCGATCGATTTCGATGAAATTTCCACCTTGTATAGTATGGCTGACATAAATCCAGAATACGTATCTTCTAAATTTTCATTACAGGTTCGGATAAAAGAATCGTGAAACGTGACTTGCGCTATTTTCTTTACGATTGCGATTCTTTCAAAATGTTGTTTACGCGTCATTCAGTAAGCTGATCCTTACGACCGGTCGTAAAATATCAAGTCTCTTGGTCCAATTTTTAAATGATCCTGTTTTGAAAAACGTTCGAGTGCTTTTGTGAGTCGCTGTACACTGTATATATACGTGCATGGAACGAAGAAATACGACAACAAGGTAATCGTATTTGCGTTCATACAGAAATTTGAGACAGATGAAGATGGTAATATTTAAGTAAAGATGAACGTACCTCTAGATACGTGAATAATAATGCATGGTCCGTTTTCATGGAAATAAATAAAATAAAAGTACTATTTGGATGGGATCGATTAAACTCGAGATAAGTGTTTCAAAGTCTGTGGGAAACAGCATAACCGGGATAAGACGTACGACCGAGTATTGGTTTGATAGAAAATCGGAGAACCACCCGATGAGTAGTTGGCCAAGTAGACGCACCTACTTACGCCTACTCTATGTATGTATATGTATAGATTGGCGATCAACTATCCGTATACGGATATGCCGTTGGTATATCTGTATACTGTATGTAGAGGTTGAGTAGAGGCGCAGCGGTCACCTTTCGAGACTCGGCTGAAACTCTCGGTAAAGCATCGAGCAGCCAAGCATGCAACATGCAAGCATACTAACGTATACCCATACGGAGATAGTCCTGTGGCCATTTGCATTGAATACGCTCTTACCTACCGAGCGAATATCCGAGCTTCTACGTAAGCAATGCCATCGCTACCACTGCTTTTTGCCCTTTCTAACCGGTCCTTGTACCATTGTGTTTATTTATGCTCTTTAATTATATCGAATACGGTAGTGAAAAATACCGATGCTAAAGTTGCCCCTATATCGAGCAACAGCAAGACACTCTCTTATCCTTTGCACCGATATTATTAACGTGTGTTATCGCGAAATTTATCTTTCGTTCGTTGGTAGCAAATATACAATAGGTATGGATGTGTCAAGTATATACGGACAGATATAGTAATTTGGTCGGCCGTTTACGCGTCATTGCCTGTAAAGGCGAAACCGCTGGTAACCGGGAAGATAATCAAAGTTTTTCGACCGCTAAGATCGCATATGCGTGAAACAGACGATCGCGTGTTACAAATGAATATGCGGAAATCAATTTAGTTGGTTAGTTCTCGATGAATTTGCTACGGTTAACGAAACGAAACGAAACGAAACGAAACGAACGTTTTCGCTTTAACGAAGAACGTTGGCTGATCGTTGCGATCGTTCTGGCCGTTTGCATATACCGTCGTTCTATCCATCTTGTAACGAGAGCTAGCCCGATTTTCAAGTAGTCGTCTCGCGCAGATGGTGCTACTCCCGCACGGTCTAACAGGCATAGTCGTTTGTCTCGTTCGTACACGCGTAGCACGAAGGGAACGCGCCTGCTGCTCTCATTAGTTGGTTCCTGCGGCACGCGAAAAAGCCTGAGGGGTTATATGACCGGTACAGGGGTGAGAATAGGAAAAAAGACGGCGGGGGTGAGACGGGAGATGCAAGAACCCTTCAATTCTTTCGCTCCAGATCTAGCGTCCGTTAATTGGAGGTTGTTTGACTACGCACCAACTTCACCCTCTTCTCTCTCTTCTCTCTCTTCTCTCTCTTCTCTCTCTTCTCTCTCTTCTCTCTCTTCTCTCTTTTCCGTTCTTCCTCTCCAGATTCCTTTTGTCCTTCTTTCTTTCTTACTCTATCTTCTTGAAAGTTACTACTGTATTTTCTCACGTTTATCTGGATTTTGTCGAAGAGAGAGAAAATTCGGATTTTTTGACAGCTCGAAAGGCGAAAGATACGAATCGTAATGATCGATGATTCGAAATGTTATTTCGAGATGGGAGACGGGCAGGTTGCGTGTAAGCTGCGGCGAAAGCGAGTGAGCGAAAGAGAAGCGAGGAGAGAGAAGCGTTAAAAAGTAGATGAAAAGCTGTTCAAACTGTACCGCACGAGTGTAGGTCTGTTTGTACGGCGCTAACGATGAACAAACAGAGCGGAACGGCTTAGCCGATACACCGGCTATATCGCGTGACTCATCGTTCGACTAGAGACCGAAACGATCAAAGAGAAAGGACTTAGGATGAGTTTAGAAGTTTGGTATTTGTGATGTCGCAGCTCGTCGCCTCTTTTTAATTAATTCTATTGTAAATAGTGAAATGTTTCAAGAAACGTACGTACGCTAAACTAAATAATTGCTACTAAAATGAGACGACCGACTTATCCGACCTTCTATATTCTTTGTTTCAGTGTTGAGGGATGAGTTTCGCGTGGAACCACAAAATACAAGAGTCGCAGCTGGAGAGACTGCTCTGTTAGAGTGCGGACCACCCCGAGGTCATCCAGAACCAACGCTGCATTGGAAAAAGAATGGCCACGAGATAGATTTGGATGCTACTAAACGGTAATCTGCGCGCCTCTCGTTTAATCGCGTTGCATTGTTAACGGTCGACTGTTAATTGGCATTTTATAAGTATATGTGGTATATCGATTTCCATTAATTTCGAAACTAGTCACTTACATTTAGCGAAAACTGTCTGTTGCAGTATCACTTTGGTAGACGGAGGAAATTTAATGATTTCGGATGTTAGGCAAACTGATCAGGGAAAATATCAATGCGTTGCCGAGAACATGGTAGGCGTGAAAGAATCTGCAGTGGCAACTTTGACAGTTCACGGTGAGTAATGTCCATGAATCGAACAAACTAAGCATATTGCGATACGATGCAACATAGACGATGAAAAAGTTTCAACTTTTGCATTCGTGTTTCCTTGTTAGTGAAGCCATTCTTCTTGTCGACTCCTGCGAATCAAACGATCCTAGCTGACCAAACGGCTGAGTTCGCCTGTCGCGTAGGCGGCGATCCTCCACCTGAGATCCTTTGGCGACGAAATGATGGGAAAATGCCAATCGGGCGGGCGCATATTTTGGACGACAAAAGCTTGCGAATCGAAAGGGTGACGTCGCAAGATCAAGGGACGTACATTTGCGATGTTGAGAACGGTGTCGGTGCCATATCTGCGACTGCAACTTTGACGGTACATTGTAAGTAAGCGGAAAACGGAACGCGTATCCGCGTTATATCGACGAATCGCTGCTAGCAACGATGCGTGACGTTCTCTCTTGTTTGGTTCCGTCAGCAAGGCCAATATTCAGCAGTTTTCCAAAAGACGAGATAGTCAGCGTCGGATTGAACGTTTCGTTTTCCTGCGCGGCTCGTGGCGCACCGCAGCCTTCTATCTTTTGGACACGCGAAGGTTCTCAAGAATTAATGTTCCCTGGAAACGAATACCAAGGACGTTACAAAATCACAGAGGATGGGAGTTTACGTATCAAGAGCGTACTTGGAAAGGACGAAGGACACTACGTTTGCAGCGCGATCAGTCAGGCTGGTGCGAGCACAGCTACAGTCTTTCTTCAGGTATTGGATCGCGTATCTGACCAGATGGACGATCCTCGATTTTCTCTTTCCGATGTTGCTCGTGAAATTGAAAACCGTACGAGGATACGAACGAAGGGTAGCTGTTGTACTTGGTTGAATTCTTATATTTCTCCGTTAGGTTACCTCGGTCGAGGAGGTTCCGCCGCCTGTCATCGAAATTGGAGCAACGAATCAAACGTTGCCTCCGAAAAGTGAAATTTCTTTGCCGTGCCGTGCATTCGGAAGACCTAGCCCAAAAATCCGCTGGTACAAGAACGACCAACTTGTACGAATCGATGGCGATGATCGATTTGCGATCGCTGGTAACGGCACTCTTTCTCTGAAAAATCTTCAATCGAGCGACACGGGAATATACAAGTGTGTCGCATCCTCCGAGTCCGGGAATACGTCATGGTCGGCTAGTTTAACGATTAGCCCAGCAGCGAGTTATCACGGCGTCGTCATGCCAGATATATCGCTACTTCCCGAAAGTCCAAGCAAACCAAGAATAGTGAATACCACTAGCAACACGGTGACGCTCACCTGGAGCCCGGGACACGAAGGCGTTAACAAAATAATCGATTACACGGTCGAGTATTTTGCCACGAATCCAAAGACTAGCTGGATCGTTGCCGGAACGAGAATAATAGATGACGTCTATACCGTAAGTACATGGATATGTGTAGATGATCAGGCCAGATTCGAATGCAAGAACACGAGGCACAAGTAGACATGTACATATGTGCATGGATGTATTCTGTCTGCCTTTATCCACGAACGACGTTAATCGACGATGCAATCCCAATCGCTGCTCCTTTCGTCCCACAGGTAACGAATCTCAAGCCAGATACGAGTTACGTGTTCCTTGTTCGTGCTCGAAACAGTCAGGGTCTTTCCGTTCCTGGACCGTTTTCCGATGTGGCGCGCACGACTAATATCGATCAACACGCGATTCCTCAAACCGAACTAATTCGAGCAAGAGATCGTCTCAACAGTGAAATTCTTTACTTGAAGGATGTTCAGCCTTTGAGCAGTACCAGCGTAAAGATCGTATGGGACGTAAGTAACAGAGGCGCTATAGAAGAAACAACGCGTTGCAAAAATATAAATCCTTCGATCGAATCCAATTATATAATAGTTACGAATTATTTGCCGTTTCGCGTTTTCCCGTGCCTTGTTTTCCTTGTGCTGTTTTTGTCTCTAGATACTGGGAGCTGCCGATTTGGTCGAAGGCTTGTATATAAGATATCGTCAAGTTTCCGAGAAGCCAGAATATCGAATGGTCACGGTACTGAATGCCGGAGCAACCAGCTACGTTTTGACCAATTTAAACAAGTACACGCGTTACGAGTTCTTCCTAGTTCCTTTTTTCAAGACTATCGAAGGGAGACCGAGCAACGTGAAATTAGCGATCACGCTGGAAGACGTACCTTCCGGGGCACCCGAAAATGTTCATGTCGGCATGATAAATGTGACCTCGGCGTTCGTCCGTTGGTCTCCACCGCCGAAAACTACACAAAATGGACAATTAATAGGATATAAGGTAAATACGCGTGTGACAACGCGATCTAAAAGCTAGTTTTCCGTGAGAATCGAGTCAAGTTGGTTTCTCTTTTATTCGTTCGCTAGATTCAAATCAAAAGCAATAGCAGCAACAAGATTTTGGGCCAGATGTCTTTAAATGCGTCGACAACGTCGGTGATTATCAACAGCCTAACGACAGGTGGTCTTTACACGGCGCGCGTTGCCGGGTTAACTCGTGTAGGTCTTGGACCGTTCTCCAATCCAACCGTTTTGAACATGGATCCGGGACAATTGACGCAGTTGCCGCCACGAACAGATCCGAGTCAAAGAAATGCCTCTGTCGTGAGTGAAACTTGGTTTTTGATTCTCGTGATAACGGTCGTGTTGACCATTATCGCCGCGTTATTGGGTGCTGTTTACGTTCGTCGAAGGCAAGCGATGAGTAAACAGCTCGGCCACTTGAATGTTCCTGTCGGCACGGCTAATGACATTTGTCAATTAAACAAAGATACTCTGTGGTTAGAGCGTGGTTGGAGGCCGAGTAACACACTCCAGGCTTCCACTACCGATAAAGACTGCGAAACGAAGCTATTAAGCAATCAGAATCAAATCGGCCTGCCACCTGGAATCGTTGGAATGGCTGGCTCGGAATACGCTGAAGTTAATCTAACGACATTTTACAATGCTCGAAAACAGTTGCAAGCTCCGCCAGAACCATACGCTACAACGACACTCTGCATGCCTGCTCGTAGCCCGGATTCGATAGAAACGGCCGGTCGAAAGTCGAATTCCAGTGATTCTTGTCTGAAGCCGGACTATTCGAGTTTGGATTCGAACTTGGATCGAAACAAATCAACCGTGTCCCCGAGCAGCGACAATGCCAGTAGCGTTTACAACGCAGAGGATAATACGGAAGCGCAAAGAAGAGCTCATCAATACAGAATGCCGCTGCCAAATGAAAATCAACCACCGAATTGGTGCGATATGCTACCACCTCCGCCGGAACATCCGCCTTCGTTCGAGGGATCTCTCGGTTCTTCCAGATCGCATTCGCATACGCATCAACACCAACACCAACATCAGTATCAATATCATCATCATCATCATCCGCATCAAATGCAGCATCAGTATCAGCATCAACACCATTATCAACAGCAGCAGCAGCAGCAGCAGCAGCAGCAACCACAACAACAGCAACAACAACAGCAGCAACAGTACCAACATCAAACCGCCTTTAGTCCCCACCTAGGCAAGAGAAGTATCGAAAGGCAAAACGATTTGGACTTGATCACGAGTGCAGGACTAGCGTTGGGACTGGGTTTAAGCTCGAGTTCGAATTCAGGTTCTGGTTCTGGTTCGGGTTCTGCAGGTGGAAGCGGCGGCGGTGGTGGAGGCACTGGTAGCGGTGGTGGTGGTGGAGGAGGTGGCTCCGGTTCGGGCTCAGGATCGAGAAATTCGCAAAGTCCACCGAGTCCGCCGACCAGAATAATTAACAATTTAGCAGGCTCGAATACAATTTGGAACGATTCGGGTCAGCAGACTCAATCATTCGACAATTCTATTGCGCAAAGTAACGTCCATCAGCAAGGTAGATACACGAGTTTGCCTCCGCAAACGAATCCACCGGCACTGCCCGTCTTTCCACAATCGTTCGACTGTTACGATTCGTACAAAGGTAATCACGAAAACGAATACGAGAGCGGCTCTCTTTTGTACGGTCAACGAAATGATTCGCCATCGGAAGACTACGATTCTGCGTACAGTCATGTAAATCGTGCGGATTCACGATCGGAACGATCAATAGCGAACGAGGATATCTATCGACGAAACGATCAAGATATCTATACAACGGAGAACCTTTATCAAGCTGAGAACGACGAATGGGATAGAAAGTCGTGCGATTCGAACGCGCACTCGGATATTTGTTGTTCCTGTTCGGAATCCAGTTGCCTGTATGGCAACACCCTCGAATACAACGACCAATTCGCTCCGACATCGGCCAATTGCCTCCATGGTAAAACAGGTTCCCGAAATAGAAATGGCAAAAGTCCACGTAGAAGAAATACTAGAACTGCTTCACCGACCTATAGTAGCGGTGACAGTAATTATTCTTGTATCCCTCCAAGACAATCTGGAAACATTAGCTCGCAAGAAAGGACGAGGCATAACCGTGGCAAAGGTTCGCATATCACCCATCTATTTTTCTTATCTTTTCTCTCTCTCTCTCTCTCTCTCTCTCTCTCTCTCTCTCTCTCTCTCTCTCTCTCTCTCTCTCTCTCTCTCTCTCTCTGACTCTCATTGCGGTCGATTTGATAAAAATCGCCGTAAAACAGTGTGATCTTTATGTACGTACAACATGCAACATATTTCGTTCTCTTTCAGATAAAGTGCCTAGCTTTTCGAGAATCGGCGGCTATCCTCAGCACAATTCCTCGGCCTCGAACACAGTCAGCAGTTCTGGAAGTCAAAGATACAACAAGCTGAACAATGTTTTCGTAGGTGGTGGGAATTCAAACGCTCCTATAGAGTGTAGTCGGCCGGCCGACCTTCGCGATGGCTAATGTCACAAGGATTCTCGGAGGATCAAGACCGATCGATAGAATCGACCGTTGTTGATACGAACCGCTGTTTCAACCTCGAACGAATTACTTGGATCGCAACGAATCGTAGCCGTTTCGCGCGACAATATCGCCAACATTCTCAAAGTACCTTTTCCGGGCTAAGCTCGTCCTCGATGTCTCCAAACCTTAATAGCTACTCGTATTAACCGTGATATTCCTTTATTCCTCTCTCTTTTCTTCCTTCCAGCCTCTGCCGCGCGAAACTCTTTCATTCTCATATTCATTAATATTCTCCTAATAGATGGGTTTAACCTCGTCTCTATTAGCCCTGTTTACGCAAGTAGTGCGAAGAATGCGTTCGTCTCGTAGTTTCGATACTTTTGATAATTACCTAACCGAGTTGTTGCGTTTCTTCGTTTTTTGCTCAATATATCACCAACCACTGCCATTGAGTAATGAAAATGGATGATGGACGATATGGTTGACAGTGAAAAGTGAACAGTGAACAGTGAACAGTGAACAGTGAACAGTGAACAGTGAACAGGGTGCGAGATGATGGATATGACGAAAAGGAAGTGTTATAGATCGAATAGATTTAGTTTCGTAATCTTTGTTCGTGAGTAACGATAATTTACGATTTCAACGTCGACTTCGACATTGCAAACCATATTAACACGCAATATATTGTTACGCGTATGCGCACATGGCAGTCCTGTGCGCTAGATCAACGTGGCACTTGTGTACTTTCCAGAAATTTTAAATTTTCGCCGCTCAGAGTTCCGCACGGTTCTATTATTTTCCGATGTAACGTTCCTAAATGGTTAAAAATGATTCTTTAACTTTGTCGTACGGATACGAACGTGCTGCCACGTGATACTTCTTAAACGATATACACATGTATGCACAACTTTTAAGGGTACGTGCAGCAAAGAATGATCGACTGTCGTGCAACAAGTATTACATCATATCGAACAGTTTTTTTGTGTATGTATGTATGCGTGTGTGTGCGTGCGCGTGTGCGTGTGTGTGTGTGCATGTGCATGTGTGCGTACGTGCAGAAGCTTCTTTCTTCTATGAGCAGTTGAAACAATGCAAAGTAGCTATCGACCTGTGTCTTTCGTCGTAAATCTGCAATGCGAATCGGAAACGAGCAGCTATCGTCTGTATTCTATTCGTTGCATCGATCGAAAGGGAAAAAACAATTGCCACGTAACACTGGCGAATTGATTCGTCGGTAATCGCTTACGAATACCAGTGAAGATTACGGCGGACGAAGAAAATACGAATAAGTGACAAGCTACGAGGACGACGACCAACAGTGTTGAAACGGCCAGAATAATATTCTAAATTGGATCTAATCGGGCGTCGTTGATCCGAGCACATTTACAAACTGCATCTCTTGGTTCCTCCTAATCTCAGTGTATGTTGCGTGAGAGTTCGTCGAGGCTCCGGAATTGGAACGAATCTTAATGTAAATTGAGATAGTCGAATAGAGGACACTCGTTGTGTAATAATCGCTCAAATTCGTTGTAATTAGTTTGTTCTTTCGCGTGAGGAAACAAAGAGTAAATATTATTAAAGAACTGACTGATTGTAGATCGGCGATCGTCGAACTATATTATACCGTTCTAATGAATGGGTTTATTAATACGTTGAGCGCGACGCCGGTCCCTGGGGCCGACAGTATTAAAGTTAAAAATAAATGTAGTCGTCTCAATGAAATTTATTAAAACACTCTAAACAAAAATGTGGCTGTTGCATTTACACATATTACAAAACGTGACAACTTTTTTGGTCAAATCTTTGGCTATCTTGCGTCCAAGTAATTTTGAATTGTTATCATAACATCCCGACTTTTATGTACGTCTCCTTCCTCTTTGCGTAATTTATGAACGATTCTTCCTTCAACTTGGATATTTGGTTGATTGCCTTTTGCTTTGAAGTCGCGGATCACCCTGTATCAACGTATCACTTGGGCGCTCGCTCACTGCCGGCTAAACGGAAAAGATAGCAATTTCGGCGCCGCGCTCAACGTGTTAACGGACGTTAACAAGCGTCAAAGAGAAATAACAGACGCTGAACGCACTGCCGAATATCACAATTCGGCAAGACTACGTAGATCGGGTGTGGAGATACGATTCAATGTGTAACATAAGTATATAAAATTATCCGCGCGAGTAACCGTTCGCAAATGAAATTGGTAAATCCGTAGATCGCATATAGAAACATACAAGTATAATCCATCCAGAAAGGCGAGAAACAAGAATAAATGAGGGAAAAAGCTATTAGTAACGAATTAAATTGAAAGAAAGAGATCGTTCGTTTTCGTAGAGTGTTTAAATAAGTGATAAATTTCGAACAACAGTTAGAGAAAGAGAGAAACGTAGCTACGTAGAACTTATATTTTAAGTATTCACCGTAACAATATTCAAACATTATCTCTGATAGTTTGTTTAGACTGTACACTGAGTTTGCCAAACTTCGTCTTTACGGACTCTATTGACTGGTGGTAAATGGTCCTTTTCTATAGGCACATATGTATGTAGATTCTTTTTGGGAGAAGAAACAAACAAACAAACAAACAAACAAACAAACGAACAAACACCTCCAAATCTGTACATAAATTCGCACTCGAACTCCTCCACAATATGGGAGCAGTTCGATCGATAGTAGTTACTTATTTAGATACCGAAAATATTTCGAGTTCAAGATCGAGAACTCGTGATACTTTTGTCACAGATTATGCGGCAGAGTAAACGATTCTTGAACCGATTCAGTTATACCGAACCATCCTATCAATTTGCAAAGCGAAAAAAGTAATGACGTTATTTTTATAGTTTCTCATATTTGCACGATTGTTACGATGGTTCAAACTGTTTGTATGTATCATATTACGCGTAACACCTTCAACGTTGAACGAAAATATAAGATCGCGTACGGATCGTGACGACACACACACACACACACACACACGCACGCATGTACACGCACGCATGTACACGCACGCATACACCAAATTCTTTTTTCCTTAAACTCGCTTTTATTCGTATCCCCACTATCGCGGGCTTACTGCGCAAACCCTCCCCTCCCCTCCCCTCCCCTTCACCTTCTCAATCCCGTGCCCAATGCTTAATTCTTTCATTCTCGTTTCTCGTGTCGTCTATTGGCCCGTAATTTGAGTTGTCCTGTCTGTCTTAAATTGCCCTTACGCTTATGCGCTTGTCCTTGCGCTCGTCGCATCTCCATTAACTCTCCATTTACTCTACCGACCACCTGCCGAGAATTAAAACGGCGAACGGAATATAACGAGAAACACGTGTCGATGTGTTCTTCCGTTTGTGAAAAGTGACAAGTGAAAAGTGAAAAGTAAGCAAATTGAATGTAATCCGAACTAAATCGTCTTCGTTGAAATCGATTAAACCAACTTTGTCCCGAACGAGGGAAAGTTTCACGAAAGTTTCGTAAGTGATTTATTATCAATCACTGCCAATAGCTGAATAGTCTCTTGCGAAGATTGGACGCTTTGTTGACCGACTGACAAAAATTGTCGACACGGTAGAATAACGATATATATATTTTATAGTCACAGCGCGCTAACCGTCATATCATTAACATTCGGGTCGAAAGATCTAATAACGATAAAAAAACGTTCCGAACACTACGATTCGATAAGTTTCAATTTTACTTGCATCTTTTAGCCACTAGGTCTAAATTAAATCGTGAAGGCTGATAAGTGATTTAGCTTAAATATTCTTTACGTTTTGTAAATAAAGCGCATCAAAGAAACAGAAATTGTTCGTTTGTTCGTAAGCGTTTTCGTAGGCAATAACTTATTTATTATAAAACAAATGCAAGTGATTGTCCACTTTGAACATGTTATTGAAAAGGAAAATATGATACTAATAAAATTGGTCGATACAGACTAGTGTCATACGCGTACAGACAAACACAAGACGCGCACAAATGTAGATAACTAAAAAGTAATAATTATTATTGTCAAGTACTACATATACATATAAAGCGATATACAAAAGCGTTACGCAATATACGAGTAACGATTATTAATAAAAACAAAGAAAAAGTGATGTTGAACATACGAGTATTTTCCAAACTTTTTACGTTCTAGAAGTAATTCATGAAGATTTAAAGGAAAAAACAAACATTTACTTCCTCTTATCCTATTTCCCCTTACATTTAACAAGCTAGAGCTCAAGTTAAACGAAATAATATATAAGAGTCCAAAATAATCTTAGAGCTTCAGGTAATTTAAACATTATATCGGATATATTTAGAAATTTATAGTTTTATTGTAACAGAAGACAACGATCGATAATTATTTACAAAATTTCGTTCGTAAACAAACGATTTTCTTTTTTCAAGTATTCTTATTGAGAATTATGAATACAAAATAAAATTATATTAGTTTTTACGCTTACATGTAATTACCCGCAACCACCCTTTCCGCAACAAGTACGCTTAGGGGGTCGATATCCTCTAGAACCGTCGCCCATTAATGGGTTGTATCCTGTAATGGTCGGAGAATGTCAGAATTAACGCTATCGATCGATATCATTATTTTAAAATCATTATTTTCCACGTGTGTATTTACCCCCCCTTATAAATTTGTGTTTCTTCTCTGTAAAAGGTGGTGAATCGTTGTTCTTCTTTCCTGGTCTACCGTCTATGACATTATTGTCTAAGATTAATTTTGATATTCCTTTTGCATTTCCTTTCTGCTGGAAAACAGAATAATACACATATATTCTAAATCCATGTTGGTGCATTTCAAGTTAAGATTCGCAATTTACCTCTGTCCTTTCCTCTTCTGCCAACATACATTTCTGATAATATTCCTCTTGCATTTTTTGTCGTGAAGCTTCTAAACCTATGAGCCTTTCTCGCAACAGATCCGGATCTAAACGTATAATAAAATTAGGCAAGTACTTTTGACAAACATGACATAGCCATCTTACGATATTTACTCTTATGATATTTTGCTGCATATTCCTGTTCACTCTTTCTCAACTTCCAATTCGCATATTTTTCCAAAATGTACGGAGATGCCCACCAAATGCAGATTGTAATTCCAATTATATACCATCCAACGGATGCGATAGTACTCCATACTGTATCGATTGTCAAGATGTAATTAAATTAAATTAAATTAAATTACATTACTTTGAATTAAATATTTTTCAGTGTTTCAATGTCTTAAAAGGAATTCGTGCAACGACATCTTAAAACATAACGCTATCTAGTTAGTAATTATCAATTTTGATTAATAATTTGATACATCTTAACGATATAGCATATTTAGCATATATAGCATAATAAGAGATATTACGTTTAGATAAAAAAATCGCTGTCATTTTCAATTAAATGAAAATAAATAATTTGTTCGGCTTACTTTGTAAGAATATGTACATCGTAAGAAGTGAAATTTGGACTTGTTGATCTAGGTTATGTTTCATATCTATTTCACAAATATACATACCTGTTTTAAAATAAGAGATTTTAAATATTTCTCCAACGAAATAATCCATTTTCTGTCTCTTCTAAATAATGCGACACCTATGATTTTAAAAACTGTTAATGTTAATAAATCACAAACCACAAATATATTTGATAAATATTAAAATAAAGCGAATATGCAATCTATTGGTTTATAATATGAGAACATGCCAATCACTGTTCAGTTATATCTTATGTTTATATAGATTTTATCTAATAAAATATGGTAAAACGGCTATCGTTGTTTATAATTTCACGTATATTTAATTTGATGTACTAAATGTACATGTATCATTTCGATATAAAAAAAGGTTAATTTTCAAAATTTCCACAAATATCAGAATAGAAGAAGCAAAAACAGTTGTAACTATTTTCTTTATTCTTCTATTTTACCTGTTTTTGAATCCGGTTATTCATTCACAACACCCCGTCCGTGTGAACAAACACAACGTCCGTGATCACGATCGAAAATGTCCAAAATATTCCAAATGTCACTAGAAACGTAAACGATACAAATAGTCGGTACAAACAATCGATCGATACATTGAAATGTAACCTCATTCATGTTAATTTGTATATACATAGTACCTTTGATACTACACATATATGTATACATGATATTAATTACAAAAGCACACGTATGTAATAAATTATAATATAATAACGTATTTAATAATCATCATATGGTAACTTGGCAATAAATATTGTACAGTGTAGTATTTACAATATCATATATTACACGGTAATAACGTATAAAAAATTCAACAATTTTACAACACATATATTAGACAATTAATACATATAATTACATATAAATATTGGTAGAACAACTTTTCCTTAATAACCATATTTCTCGTTAAGACTTGTCTTTCCATCACCTGCTTGATCCGATGGCGGAATCCACATGGAATAATTATCTGCATGTATGTCTTGATCGCAGTACATTTTTCTTTGTTCCCGTCGATGTTTTTTCGTCATTTGGATGTTATGCTTTTGCTGCTCCTCGTGTTTCTCGGAAGATTCGTTTTTAATAGTGGTATTAGAGAGTTGCAATTTAAAATTTTCCTTACATAATGAATCATGGGATGGATTTGAAATTGATTCATCATCGTCGTCACTATCCACTTCTTCTACAGCTGCTGCTGTATTTGTGTCGGAATTTGCATTTGATTCGAGTAATTCAGTATTGGTAGTTACATACTGCTTTGTTTGTTTCACCTACATAAACATTCCATAAAGGTAGTAGAGTATTGTGGGCAGATTAAATGCGGACAAAGTAAATATTTACTTACCTTTTTGCCGCAAAGTGAGGAGTTATAAATTTTCTTTCGTTCTACTGGCGCGTTTTGCATAAGATGCGCGACTGCTTTAGCCTGACTAATATTTTGATCCATAGTATCGTGGTAAGAAAGAGCTGGTAAATTTGCAGGCTGTGTCAAGTTTAACAGTTTAATCAAACTTGCCTCTTCTTTTCGAAGATTTTGTAATTCCAACTTCATCTTAGCAATGTCACTTTTAGTTAAAGCAAACGAACTTAGACTTGACATAAAAGCGTCTAACGCATCTTCTTCGGTCGTATCATTCTTCGCGCTACTAGCACTCTGCCAATTTTCAATCGAAGTTGACAACTGTGATATTCGTTTTGTAACTTGCTTATGTTTTTCGAGCTAAAATAATAATACCAACGACATTTTTATTTAAATGTTGATTGAAAGTTGCGAAATTGGTGAAGTATTTGCTTCGACTTACCAAGGAATCATACGTTTCTGCTTTTTCTTCCAATTTTCCAGCTAATCTCATTCTCTGTTCACGCTTCCTTTCTATAGAGCCTGTTCTATCCAAAAAATTGTCTTCGTCCGAGTCATAATAATCTTCTGCTTCCCAATTCCTCGTCTTCCTTTTTCTTGCTTCTGTACATATATGTATAAATAAATTCTAAATAAATAAAAAAATAAAATAAAATTCTCTTTTACAATAACCGACCGTTAAACAAAACGGTTTATTTTTACAAGACGATAAAGTTAATTAGTAAAGAGGCATCTGTGTTCAAGTACCGGAGCTCGTCTAATTTAAAAGATGCGAGGAGCGTGTTCCAGATTGGGTTCAGATGGAAACCGATGTCCTTGTTCATATTGTTTGGACTTTGTCTGGTTTTCATGTGAACACAATCTGGAACACGATCCTCGCATTTTTTTAGTCAATCAGCTGAGCAATTAATAGCGCCGGCTAATTCAGCAACACCGATGAACTGGAACATGAACATCACCGTTCCAGTACATGAATGCAGGTATCTTGTTATAGAGAGGGATCACCGCCATCACAGACATCAGCTTCAATGCATATTTAAATGCTGAAAAAGCTAATTGCATTGCTGGCAAAAGGTCGAAGATTTCTGCCCGAAAGCCCCGAACAATGTTGTGTACAACAGTATTAAGTATAGATATGAGTACAAAATATAACGGTATAAGTATGAAAACAGAAGTTAATGTTCATTATAAAGAATTTTATAAACATTATTCTTACCGTGATTTGCTTGCCTTAATAATCCATATTTATCTAAAATTTTGCAAGCTTCTAATGCGCATTGTACAACTGCTTCTTTCTTTTTACCTTTTACAAGGGCTTCTGCTCTCGTCGAATGTCCGACGATATCTTCAGTGGGGAGACTAAATTTTTCACGAGATTAAGCTAATCGTATCATATATTTCTTTCACATTGTTTTCATATGTATGAAAATACTTACTCTACCCAACACAAAAACTGTCCAAATCCCTTTTCTTCTGTTTGATAATGGAGGTCATATCCTTCTCTTTCAAACCATCCTCTAAGAGTTTTCTTGGGATCTTCTAAAACTAAATCGTCATCCGTAATAGAAGCATAGGGATTTTCTTGAAGATCTGTTTCTTCGTCTGCATCTTCTCCCATTCCCCAATCAATGCCTTCACTTTCCTTTTCTTCGATGGATGCTTTACCTTTGTCTTCCATGCACTGTTTTTCCAACTGGGACGCTCTCATTCCCTAGAATATTTTCGTTTCATCTTATATTTGCTTGAAAAATAACTGCATTAGTCGCATATGGAAGGAACAATGTTTGGATAAAAGAAGGAATACCTTTAACTCTGTTAAGCTATACGGAGATTCCTCTTCTTGGTCTCCTGGTGGAGCTTGTAAAATGTACTTTCTCTGGCTGCAACCAAATCTGAGCATATGACCTCCTTGTATCCTTACGTAAACATTAGGTTTTATGCGGTTCCCATTCCAAAAAGTACCATGAGTACTTCCTAGATCGTATACATAGAAACCTTTATCGTTTTCTTTGTCTTGTTCAGATCTGTATTGTAAAACTGCATGATATCTTGAAATAGTAGGATGAACAAGAGATAAATGGCACAAAGGTAAACGCCCAACAAGATAGAAATTTTGTTCGTTGAGTGAAATTGTCTCGATGATCATTCCAGATTTGAGTACTTCCATCATATAATTCCCTTCCGGCTTTCCTCCCCAAGATGGTTCTACATACGGGAAAGGTTGATCTTGCGAATGTTTTTGAGATTTTATATCACGCTCTGAGCTTTTGGAACTTTTATATGTCGGACAAGAACGTTTTGGACCAATTAATACAGTCGGTTTCTTGAAAGTTGCAATATTATCAACATCATTGAGACCTTTAGACAAGTCATTTGTTGAATATTCTTTCGTCGAAGCTGCAAGCTCTATGCTATTTTCCGATGTATCGGAAGAATTAGAGACGTTAGTAGTAGGCAGTATTTCTACATTGTTTACTTCAGCTTGTATATTGCTTTCATCATTGTTGAAATGAATGTTGGGCATAAGGTTGTGTGACGTAGTTTCCATAGTTTTTATCGTTTGTAAAAAAGAAATAAAAGGCCAATATTAAACGTTGTAGACAGTTGTCAGTTTCCGGGAAGAAATTAAAACTTCTTCCAATTAACTTTAAACCGACACCAGTCAACGTCAACGTTCGTTTATATAACCTGAACTGACTGTACATGCAATAACCTCAACTAACCTTGTATACGTATTAACTAAAAACTCGAGGTGCACGCTGCATGCGTGAGTCGTGAAACTGGCATTGTATACAACGATTGCCAACTTACGGAGATAAAAGAAAATGAAATACGACATATGTAATATAATATGAAATGTATGCAGATATGTACATCACGATATAATTATGAACTCTATTTTCATCGAAAGAAATTACAGATATTTGTTTTTCTGCAGAATTATTTATTAGTATTTGAGGAAAAGGATGGTAAGAACGAAAAGAATGGAAATAGTTTCTTTCAACTTTATTAAAATATTGTTTTTTGTTGAACCGAGAAACATGTCGCACTAATGAAAAATACGCGATATCACGGTGTGGAAGAATTAGAAATAAAACGCAAATATCATTGGATAATCACGAAGAAAAATACCGATGAACAATAATATCTTGATATCAGCACTTGTCGCAGATACATACGTTCGATAACGATGATCAGTTTATTTACTATGTATGCTTTCGTTTTTTAGCATGAATGTTCTTAGCTCGTGCAAAGAAAATCCGATACAAACGCAATTAAGTACATATATATATACATATATACGCGAGACGCGATCGAAAGTACGATTTGGCTGTTTAACACGTTAAGCGTACAAAGTTTCCTATTTCAATTCTAATAATGATTCGTCCCAGGTACAACAAAATCGTAGTTATGTACAAATCATCTACGTACATACATACATGCGTACATACTTATACATGTACACGTACGTATGTATGCGTATATGCACGTATATGTGTATATATGTATAATGTAATTATAAACGGTAGGAATACTCGATCCTTTTGATTTCCAGTATCCGACTAAAAATATCGATAGCTGACTTGAAAGTTGAACAGCATTTCCCTGAAAAGTTTAAGATGTCAGGACGATATCATACGCATTTCTTATCTTATATCACATTTGTAATTCGTAAGCCAGGGTTGTCCACGGGAGAGATCCTTTTCTATTTACGTAGTCCCCATACTGCTTTTATAGGGCGAAGGGAGTACATTATGAGAAACTGGGAGACGATTCTTTCGGTCATATTAATTAATCACACGTCGCCATGGTATCCACATAGTAGTCGCGATGGTATCCATCGAGAATGAAAACGACACGAAACGAAACGAAACGAAATTGCACGTGATAGTTTGCGTAGGCAAGTCTATCGTAGTAGTAAGGCATCGTCTCGTTTCTTTCCTTTCTCTCTCCTTTTTTCTCTTTTCACGTTTCTTAACAGCCTGACCCCTTCCCTTCATTCCTATTCCCTCGAGCTCACTCTCCCCCCCCCCCCCCC